AATCGACGCGTTTCAGAAAGGCCGGGCATAGAGGAGCAACAATAATGTACATTATGTGGAAAATAATGCGTTATTTGAACCTTAAACCGCATAAACACATTTCATTACACCAAATACACAAAATAATGTTCTTTTTAGCAACGTCATATGACCCCTTTAACAGTTGTTCTCTGGCTCATAAGCTTCATGGGAATGTGTCGCTGTTTAGAGAAAAAAAACTTTGAGATTGGGAACAAATGTTTCTGTATTACTTTTGTGGAAACGCATCAGAAACATGTCAAATTGATCTTGACAGACTTAAGAATATGGTTTAATGCTTAAAAACCTAATAGGTTTTGGTGACTTACAAGACATCCTTTTCCAGCTTATATTTTACCATTTTATCACAAACACCCCTACATTAGTTTCCACTGCAGTCTGTGGGTGTATTTTCTGTACTGAACAGGAGGGAGAGTATGAGAGCGAGGGGGCAGGCAAGATCAAAGAAGCATGAAAGCAAGACAGCCTTTGGGCCCGTCCCAAAATACACACTTGCGGTCTTTGGCACCAGGAAGTTGTATGCAACAGGAAGTAAGTGCACAAAACTGTCCCAGGTCTGAAAAATGCCGAAGCTCATGAAAAGGGTCCATAACGTACACTAAATCCACATATCTCTTAACACCACAGAGGCTAAGCGTATCCCATAATTCATTATGTTCAGGAACTTACATGCCACAAAATAACGAGATAATAATGTTGAGGAAAAAGTTTGCAGTGTAAGTTAACTGAATTAGACATTACATATAATTTGTGTAAAAATGTAAAATGTTACACATTTTTTTTTTTTTTTTTTTTTTTTGTTTTGTAAAAAAAAAAAAAAACTTTTTTTTTTTTGGGGGGGGGTATATTTATATTTATATTTATTTTTATTTTTAATTCTGTTATAGTTTTAGTACTTTTAGAATTTTAGTACTTTTATAACTTATAATTATTTTATCATTTTAATTTTAGTACTTTTAGTACTTTAGTAACTTAAACATATTTTATTTCAATAAGCTGCCAAGGCAACATTTCTAATTTTAGTTTCTCAAGTTTTTTATATTTTATTTTATTTTATTTTAGCTTTAGTTCAATTAACGAAAACTATTTTTAATAGTTTTAGTTTTAAGAAGTGCAATATATGATACCACTGTTGTCAGATTTTAAGAGTTTATTTTTAAATCCATTATTTAAACATAATTTTTTCAAACAGTTACACAGACTTCAGTCTTTCCTCATTCAAATAGATATGAGCTGTACTTGCATGGAGTTATGACTTCTGAGCAAACTCACTTTGATACTGGTCAGATAATTTCTGCCTGACAAAGTTTGTGGTTCTTGACCTGAATAAACTCTAAACTAGTCTAGACTTCATGTCGCTGGTCAAAAGTCTAATTTGACAATAAACACCCATTTATAAAATAACACATACCAACACAATGAAAACTCACATAGGTGTCCTGATCGTACAGTTCCACCACAATGTGTGGAGGGTTCCTCTCAGTCACGAGATGGTCTCCAAATATTTCCACTTCATAAAAGATGAGGGTCTGGTCCCAGGTGGGATTGAGCGTGTTCCGAACAGTCACTGTCTTCTGGCTCTGATGCAGGAAGGACACAATGGCATAGGGATCTAATCAAAGAGTCAAAGAATCATTAAAGGTTAATGAATTGCATCTAATTTTCACGTCAAAATGAGTGATGAAGTATGGCATGATTTGGAAGTTCACATCGAGAGGGAATAGCGTGGGTAATGTGCATTTGTATACTGTCAAAAACGAGATTTAAACTGTCAACTGAAATGAGACAGGCTACGTTAGGTCAAACAGAGGTTATATTGCCACATAGATGGATAAATGAAATGGAAAGAACTGCATCAAGAGTTAGGAAAGATGTGTAGCCATCAACTCATTGAAGTCTGTTTGCCATCAAGACTGAGGCAGTGATTTGGTACATTCTCCTCAGAACCAGACTTTCAATGCATCAGTAAACACAATAAACACAAGCATTTCTGTTTTTATTTGGTTCTGTAATGAGGGAAACTTTGACAAGAATATAACATCAATTATGGAAGTGAAAAGAACCAGAGATACCCTGAGTTATGGCGTAGGGAGGGTGAGACCATTTTTTAACTTTAGTAGGTCTATGTAATGTCTGAAAGATGATGTGTGGTTGTTAGACAGAGAAAGGGGCGAAAAAAGATGAGTGAGTTAGCCAATGCATGTGCATGTATGAGTGTTTATGTATTTAAGTGAGGGTTTTAAAGAGAAAAGTTCACCCAAAAATGAAAACTCTGTCATTCCCATTCCAAATCTGTATGCAATAAAATAGAAACTAAATGAAATAAACAGAAATGATAAAGAATGTGCATGCTTCTCTTCTATAAAATGATAAAAGCTGATATAAGCTGATAGTGCCAAAGAAAAGCAAAAAGGTGTCCATATGTGCTGTATTCCAAGTCATATGCCAGCTCTGTGGTATAGACTGGAATTTAAGATGTTACTGTAGCTATTAAATTACACTTTTTCTACAAATAGGCATATGTGACTGTCTAAAGAAGCCAAATTTGAATGCAAGCACAAATTCACATTTGTGAGCTTTATCAAAATGTGAATTTGAACAAAAGCTTTAATATGACTTCAGAACACTAGGAACAAGTAATATGGATTACTTTTTTGTCCTTTTTGGAACTATGAACTGTCACTGAAAATAGGAATGTGTACATTCTTCCAAATTTCTCTGCAAATAATAACAGCATGTGAGTTTTTAATGACATGAGGGCGAGTAATTAGATAGCAGAATTTTTATTTTTGGTAAACTATTACTTTAAAATAAACAACATCCAAACATTTAAATAAACATATGCACTTAAGGTGCAGAGTGACATCAATTACTTAGGAATGCCAGAAACTGGAGGGACAGTCAAAGTTTATTATTTCAGTCGACGTAAAGCAGCCTCAGTGGGATAGTTTCACTTGGGAGGGAGAAACAGACACTTTTCCCAGCTCTTATTAAACTAGCCCAGTTACACACATGCACACACACAACTTCATACTTCCCACAAACACAGTGGCTCCAATAAACAAAAGGATAAACAAGCTATGGGGAGCGTGCACTGTTACCCAGGAGCCAATGGGAAATAAACACAGGCAGTGTCTAATCTGGCTGCTTACAGTGAACAGTAAATAAACTGTCTTCCCCAAGGGCATTGTGGGACTGGACATGTCGACGGCTGCCCACGTGTACGACTCAAACATGATGCATGACCTCTGGGAACAATGACATGCTCAAAGAAAACGGAAAGGAAACAAAGAAATTTGACTATGGATCATTCAGGCAGGCAGGCAGACAGATGGATAGACTGAGCGAGACATAAAGACCAACAATTGGAGTGAGACAGACAGACAGACAGAAGGACAGACGGACAGAGCAACAGACAGACATATAGATAGATAAAAACAGACAGACAGATAGATAGCTTTTGCTGATGTCTGAGTGTAATCTGACTTTTACAGCCTTATAGCATCTGACCCAAACCTCTGACTTCCTCTAATCCTCCTCCAGTAGCCAAAGCACTGATGCAGCTCTACATTTTCCCCTCCTTTATAAATATTGCGGTCCATCGATCATTTCCCTTTACCAAACTCAGTCTCAAGCGCACCAAGAACAAGTGATTTCTGCCTCCAGCTTGATTTATTCATTTTCCTCAGAGCTCCGAACTCTGTAAAAGTTCTAGGCTGGGTTTTGTGCATCAAGAGACCGACCCAAAACTATTTGTAGATTTGTAATCAGAGCGCCAGACTGGCCTGATTTATACCAGGCCTGTATTTTTAAAAGGATCCTCAATGTTTTTTCATCTGTGCTTGCGGGTTCAGAATGAACCTTTAAACACATAGCCGGGGTAGCTACATTTTCAAGATTTTACAAAAAAACAAAAAACAATATACTTCAGATCTTTCTCCACCTTAATGTCCCTTTTCCTTTTTTCTTTTCATCCTTGTCCACTTTGTTCCCATGTTTAGACTATGGTTTTTCCATGCATAGGAGATTTATACCAGACATTTCTAATGGGTGATAATCAGCAGGCGTATTTTGCCTACATTTTAATGATGTGGAGCTCTCGGAGTTAAAAATTTCACTACCACTATGGTTTAAAGAGGGGTGAAATACTGCTCCGGTGTTGCCAAGAAAGTTCTTTTATATTTGACTTTTTAAATTATTGTTTTTTTGCCAACATCAACAATCAGTGTCACATTCTGAATAAAAACTCACTTCAAGTTAATTAATAGGTAATATTAATATAAAGTAATAACAAGGCCCACATGGAATCTGCACATTTATGAGGGGATTTCTGTGGAATTAATTTAAATATGGCAAAATGGCTTAAACAGAGCTGAGAGCACTACACGTTTGGTAGCTGAAATACATTTATGAATAAATCTCTCAAATTGTAATTATAAAAAGAAAAAACAATAAACAAACACACAAGTGGCAAAGTGGTGTAGAACTTTGGGAATGACAAATCTGCTAAGCTTTCTGTAGAATTCTGTGGGCCAAGATTCCGTTTGGGCCAACAATTCCACAATATTCATTACACAACCATACAATAAAACATTATTGAAAATCTGGGCAAATCATGGTGGGTGGGGTGTTTTTGAAACATTGAAAACTTTTTTATAGTAAGTTCTTGTTCTAAAGAGTTAGAGAAAATCATTACAAAAATTCTATAGCCAATAAACAGCAAAAACACATGATTATGAAGAAGAAAGAAGCACTTTTCCTACTAGCAACAACTGCAAAACCAGAGGTTTTACCTGATGTGTGCGTTTAGGCAGTTTACATCAACATCTGCTGCTCTAACCACAATCCCACAATTAAATCCCATCCTTTGACCAGACAAAACTTCACACATGCATCTTCAATAAAAATACATGCAGTGCACATGCTTTCTATATTCAGAATATAATGTCTCGTTTTGATTAGCCTTTTTTTCAGGGCTTTTCAGTTTTTAAAGACCAGAAAGGCATAGGGAGAGAGCAAGGTAATGGGACACGTTGCAAGCTAGATTCAAACTTGCTTTGCCTATGAGAACAACAGCATCAAAGCTCATGCATTAACCGCTAGACCATGGCTCCGAAAATGACATTTTTTACATCTTCGCTGCCAATGTCTTCTCTCATGGACACCATTGTAAATCTACTTCATTTCGCTTCTCTCTGGGCTACACTTGACCCAGTCTGTGCCAGGCACAATATTTCACCCCCTCTGATGTAAGTTCAGTTACGGTTCCTCTACCATTACATCTCAAAGACTTCACTTTTATGATTTTGTTATTTATAAAATGCTCCTATTATTCTAGGCAATACTGATATTTTTTTAAAGAGAAATTTATAAAATCGTAATTCTGTTGTGTTACGCTATCGCTCTCAATATGCTTCACATTAGGACTACACATTGACCTCAATTTGTGTCACCGTATGACCTGGAAATATGTAATTTATTGTATGTTAACTTGTGCAAAATGTCATTGCAGCTGGCAGAGCGCACTTCATGCCATGTGGTTAAAAAGCAGATTTTGCAGATGCCTGCTGTGTCTGAATGTCACGTTAGTATTGCGTTCAAAAGGGTATATGCCGTAAGTATGGCCCTGCGACGCAGCGTCGTGTTCTCTCGAGGAACCATGGTTACATGCATAACCTGAGGCGTTCCTCTTCAGGAACTCGAGCTGCGTCGGAGAACGCTTTGGGAACGAGTATGCCCAAGCCGCCAGACTTTCAAATCTCTGCCTAGTGTGGAAGCCTGCACAGCTAGGGCGAGAGAACAGAAGAACCCGGAGTGGCTCGCATATCTAGGCCATAGAACGTGACAAAGGTTAGGGGCTTGGACCATCCCGCAGAGTTGCAGATGACCTGCCAAGAAGGCCTTGGAGGCCGCCACACTTCTCGTAGAGTGAGCCTTGACCCCTAGAGGCGAAGGGAGATCAGAGGACTCATAAGCGATAGAGATGGCATCTACTATCCACCGACTGAGGGTCTGTTTTGTAGCTGGAAGACCTCTCTTAGGGGGACCATAGCAAACAAGCAGTTGGTCCGCCCTTCTCCACAGGGCAGCTCTGTGGACGTATGCGTCCAGTGCTCGCACTGGACACATACAATTAAGCTCCTGCTGGTCTGGCTCCCTGAAGGGAGGAGAACTGAAGGCCTGGAGTACGACAGGCTGTGGTGTAGAGGAGGTGACCTTAGGAACATACCCCGCTCGAGGAAATGCTTTGGCCAGACCGGCGTGAAATCGAGATAGGAAGGGGCCACTGAGAGGGCCTGCAGATCCCCAACTCTCTTGAGAGAATATATTGCCAGAAGAAAAGTAGTCTTGATAGCTTGAGGTGGATATCCGAGATCTCCTCGATAGGATCAAAAGGAGTCCTACAGAGAGCTTCTAGCACCACAGCCAGGTCCCACGGAGGGACACGAGATCGTGCCGGAGGCCTCAGCGCACCACGGAGGAAACGTATAACTAGGGGGTGTCTGCCCACTGACTGGCCACCGAGAGGGGCGTGGTAGGCCGCAATGGCCGCCACGTAGACCTTCAGGGTGAAGTGGGTCAACCCTGCAGAGAATCGGGCCTGCAAGAACTCCAGCACTGTACCAACCGGGCAGTTAACTGGGTTGAGCTCCCATATTGAGATGCCCAGGAATGTGAACTGCTCTCAGCAAGAGGAGTTCGCCCTGGGACCACACAAGGATCTGGTGCGCCTGCCTGTAAAGGGGGTGCGAACGCAGACCTCCCTGGTGGTTGATATAAGAGACCGCCGCTGTGTCGCCGGTGCGCACGACACATGGCAACCTCTTAGGTCCGGGAGAACGTGTTTCAACTTTGCTAGAAACACGGCCAGGATCTCCAGGCAGTTGCCACGTGAGATGGCTGCCGCTCCACAGACCGCGTGCCGACCAGCCACTCATTGACGCTTCTCAACCGGTGAGGGGCGTGTCCGTCGCTAGCATTACGTGGCGACAAGGAGCTCCCAGCACCAAGCCCTGAGTCAAGAACCAAGGTTTCCTCCACATGTCTACGGCACGTAGGCACCTCCGCGTGACCTTGAGCATGCGAAGCGGGTTTCCCCTCGTGGAAAATCCCTTGGTCTTGAGCCACCACTGTAGGGGTCTCATGTACCGATCCGAGCAGGGGACAAACGTGCCTGCATCGTGGTCGAATCCCACACCACGCCCAGATAAGTGGTCCTCTGTAATAGAGAAAGCACACTTTTCTTGGCTTTTAGTCTTAACCCCAACTCTTTCATGTGAGCGAGAACAACATCTCGATGCCGAACAGCTCTCTGCTCTGAATGAGCTAATATCAACAAATCGTCGATGTAGCTGAGTATGCGGATGCCCTGGAGTCACAGAGGAGCCAGAGCAGCATCCACACACTTGGTGAAAGTGTGGGGTGAGAGTGCAAGGCCGAAAGTAAGAACCCGATATTGGTACTCTTTGCCCCCAAAGCGAAACTCTGTGATGAGGAAGGATGGAGATATGGAAGTATGCGTCATTTAGATTGATCGTGACAAATCAGTCCTCGGACCTGATCTGAGACACGATTTGTTAGTGTGAACATCCTGAACTTCAGTCGCATGACTGAGTGGTTCAACTGACGCAGCTCTAAAATGGGACGCAACCCTCCATCCTTCTTCGGAACAATGAAGTACCGGCTGTAGAACCCGAATTCTCTTTCGTGAGGAGGGACCACCTCGATGGCTTCCTTCCTCAAGAGAGTGTTTACTTCTCGTTCCATTACCAGTGCCTGCTCGGGACCCACCAAAGTGGGCATAACCCCGTTGAACTGAGGCGGAGGAGAACCAACTGGATTCTGTAGCCTCTCTCTACAGTGTGCAGGACCCACTGAGACACATTTGGCAGTAGTTTCCACGCTGCCAAATAGTCTACTTAAGGGAATCAGTCTCTCGAGACTGACTTCTGGTGTAACCAGAGAGGCTAGCTCGGTGCCCTGAAGCGGCGGACCGGCAGGGGACGGCGGTACTAGCTGCTCTAGAGACCTCCATAGAGGTAGCGAGCCTCTTAGTACCACTACGTTTCTGGGCGGTAATTGAGAGAAGCGCTCGCCGCTCAGAGGAAGAGAGGTAAACGCGTGCTCTCACTCGAGAAATTTTTATCCCAAGAGCCCCTGCATATCTAACTTCTCATAGTCAGATAAATACTTAATTTTATTCCTCAGAATTATAATGCAGTCAAACAACCAGACGAGTAAATACGGTCTGGTGAGGTAAGATTCACATCAAAAACCGAAATTATGTAATATACGCGTTGCCTCGGCAGCGCGCAAGCCACTCAGTCACACAAACAATATCAATCTCCTCAGAGAAAGATGGCTGCAGCAGCGAGCTCTCACTCAGAGGTGGAAGAAACCGCAGCGCGGGCTTCCAAGCCTCGAGAACGAGCTCTAGATCTAGGGAACACGTGTGGAGATAGGGAGAGCGGGGCCGGCACTGCGAGAAATGCTAGTGAAGGCTCCCTCCTCCAAGAGAGCCCTCTGAGAGCGAAGCAAGGCAGTAACAAACACTTGCAATGTGCTGACTCTGCGTGCTTCGCTCCCAAGCAGACAACAAACAAACTGTGTGTATCCCCACCCGTAATGTAACGCGGGCAGGGAGGAACACACAGCCAGAAACGCTGCCTGCCCTCACCCTTGAGGTGTTTGGTTTTGTCTTGTGCTTTTGACATGATTTCATGACAAACAACACTAAATAAGACTCACAAACAGATATCAGACTGTATACACATACAGAGCGCTTGCTGAATGACAGAAAGCTGACGCCGGTTTCACAGCACGTGCTTTTAAGCTTCCTGGTCGCTACATCACCCCGCCCGTGACGTCTCGCCCATCCATTGGACTGATTACACACACGTGATTCAGAGCCGGTCACGCTGAAAGGCATTCCCAAAGCGTTCTCCGACGCAGCTCGAGTTCCTGAAGAGGAACTTGATTTACATCAGGATTGGGCAAAATTCAGAATAGAAGAAATGGCTTCTTTTGTATTTCTTAATATCTCTTTTTGAATAAAATTTTTTTTAAGCAAAATGCTAAAATATACACTACCCTGTGTAAGTATAAAATAAACATTTTTAAAAATGTAGCATTGGAATTTTAAAAAAAGAGTTCTTCATTCAATTTCGAATTGTACACAACCCTTGATATGTCTGTAAAAGTTATGTTTGGGTAATACATCTACCTTTTCCACTGGTTCACAGTGAAGGTGTTATATGCTTACCTGAGAAACTGTCCTTATCCATTGCCAGCAGGTCTCTGGCCTGATACAAGTAACATCGCAAATGATACAGGGTCCCATCTGAAGAATCAAGAAGAAGAACATCAGTGTAGTTTCAGCCATCATTTAAAACTGTCAAATGAAGTAAGAAAACAAGTTTGACTCACTATCAAAGAAGCAGGAGATGGTCGGGCGGTTGACACCAAAGGTTGTTGTAACTGACTTATCATCATTCTTTTCATCAGTAACACTGGTCTGTTGACAAAAAAGGAAAAAATAAAAACACTGTGAGACACATTATGCTCCTTCAACCTAAACAGTAGTCTCACACATCTTGGAGGTGGGACAAGACAAGGCATTCATGTTGAATCAGATATCACAATATTCCAACCAAAAGGGTAAACAAAGTATGTGTTAATGATGACTCTGCTGTCAGTTGTGGAAAGGGCAACTGCCACAAACCACTGGCAAGAAGTGATTACATGTCACCGCCCCAAAACACGTGAATATCATTTTGACATACAAAAATTATGACCTTCTCTGAATAAAATGCTAGATTATGTCTCTTAACCAGACAGAAACTGCTATGTCATTTGTGGCTACCTAATATTTACATAACCCAATACCCTTGTATGGTTTTGGAGAAAGAAAGAAAAGAAAAACTCTCCAAAGTGCCCTCTAGAACAAGAAGAAAATTTGGAATTCAATTCCAACGAGTAGCTGTGTAGTGCAACCAAACGCTGAATCACTATTTTTATTGTCACAATTACGCACACAGCTTTTAGCAACAAACAAGCTGAGGTATAATGAAATCTGCCTTTCAGTCTCTCATGTGAATCAGAAAAGTCTGATTTATTTTAGTGAATGTGTTCGTTCTAAACTGCTCTCTATCTTAAACAACAATCGCTCATCTGATTCATTCTAGTTAATCAATTTCAATCTAACTTAATCTCTCTCAGCACTGGAAAATCTGATTCTTTTTAGTGAAACAAAATTACTCTCTCTCTCTCTATCTCTCATACGTAGCAGTAAAAAGTCTAATTCATTACTGAATTGTTTTTTCCAAAACAACTCTCTCATATGTAGCAGAGAAAAGTCTGATTCATTCTAGTGCATCAGTTCATCCAAAATGACTCTCTCTCTCTCATATGTAGCAGTAAAAATTCTAATTCATGTACTGAATCAGTTTGTCTTAAACTGCTGTGTCTCTCATATGTAGCTGTTAAAAGTCTGATTCATTCTAGTAGTTATGTAATTCATCATAAACGGCTCCCTATATGTACATGTAGAGGTGGAAAGTCTGATTCATTCCAGTAAATGGTCATTTCTCTCATATGTAGCGTTGAAAATGATTCATTCTAGCCTAATTCTGATTCAGTCAGTTTGTCCCAAACGACTCTCTCTCTCTCTCTCATACAGTTGTTTTGGAAAGTTATTCCAATGAATCAGTTCATCCAGTTTTAATCTAAAAATTAAAGGTTAAAACACTCCACATCATATGGAAATAAATAAATTGAGTATTTGATGCTTATACTTGATGTCTCTGGGTCAGAGTTTTCAGGTTCACCTTTGCAAGGCACTGGGGCCTTTTACTTGCACCATGGATCCATTCCAGACCCTCATCAACTATGAGTTCTCAAGCCAGCCAAGCCCACATGACATCTCATGCCAGAGATCCGTAACAATGGACCCAGTGGACCAGACTATGAGTAAAAGAATAAGCATACTAACTAGGCTTTATGCATACAATGTTTTTCACACTCACTGTTCCATCTCTGTCTCCCTGTAAATGATATCCCATGATGCCCTTATTTTACCAGGCTGATTCCACATTGCTTGCCCAGTCTCTCTCAGCACCTCCGATTCGTCCAAGCTCAAAGCCCTCCACACCCATTCTCGCCTTTGCCTTGTCCTAATTGCATCTCACCCTCATTTGATTCTCTCCGACCACTTTCCTTTCCTTCCATTACTGTCTCTCTTTCTAAATCTCAACCCAATTTCAGCTCCACATCACTCAAATAGTCAACCCTCATTACCAGCGAACACTCCAAGGAAAAGATGGCCGCCGGCCCCGTCTTTTCTAATGGCTCCATACGGCATCTCCAGCGCCGGCGACGGAAGGAGTCAGTCTTCCTTTGCTTAAGGTGAAACTTCCAGCCAAATAAAGAGGCATATTCCCAGCCCTCACGCTCCGACTCGTCCGGACGCTGCTGTAGAAGAGTGAGCACACACAGAAAAAGACAAATGTATATAACTGAACTTGATTATATTAAAGTATTATTCTCATATGCATGTTCTGTATGATCCTAACCAGCGGTGCACAGTGCAATAAAAATAAAAAAGACAAATAGCAGACATCAGGAACTTTAGGTTAGTGAGGAAAGGATTAGTGAGGAATTAGAGTTATCTAATAGAGTAGAAAGATGGGAGGTACATCTAGACAAATGTTTTTAAATTCGTGCTTGAAGAGTGCCACCATGAGGACAACTGATTTAACTCACTGTGACCCTAAAAAGTATATGGCCACTTAAAAATATATGCTGCTGCATTTAATCAAATATCTATGTGGTCTAATTATTATTTTTATTTATTAAAAAGTAAAATTTTCAAGCAAAACATTTCACAAAAAAATTATTAAAGTATAAAATGATAGATGGATAGATGCTTGAAATTAGGACAAAACTGCTTAAAATTAGGATAAAGACCCAATGTTAATGTGAACGTGTGTCATCTACAACTGTAACTGACTTCATACATCCATGTTAAATGTTAACATCTTTTAATAAGTATATTAACGGAAATTGCAAAATTGCAACGTTCTGAGAAAATGTCTAGCATCATTTGTTTGCAGATGTCATTTGGTTTAATAATGATTTCATTGCATAAATAATGTATACTACTGTTTAAAATTTTAGGGTCAGTACATTTTTTTTTCTATTAAGCAAGGGTACATTATAACGATCAAAAGTGACAGTAAAGAAGACATTTACAATCTCCCATTGATAATAACAAGAAATGTTTCTTGAGCAACAAATCAGCATATTGGAATGATTTCTGAAGGATCATGTGGCCTTTGCCATCACAGGAATAAATTACATTTTTAAAATATAAAGAATGCAGTTATTTTAAATTGTAATAATATTAAATTGTAATTATATTTCACAATATTACTGTTAAAAATATTTGAAAATCTTACTGACCCCAAACTTTTGAATAGTAGTGTATTAATACAATTGTATCCATTATTTAGTTGTCCAAATATATATATATATATTTTTTTTTTTTTTTTTTTTTTTTTTATTTTTTTTTTTTTTTTTTTTTTTTTTTTTTAAATAATTACTTCATTTTTAAGTAAATAATATAATCTAAACCACCTTTTTTACACAAACCACTCTTTCACACACTTCTTCCTCTAAATTCTTTACTCACTTTTAGTAGCCCTATTTGTTTCTTGCACAGAACTAAATATAAACACACTGAGCCTCATTCGTGAAACATGATAAAAACATATTTCTGTGTAAATCGTTATTAAATCCATTCTTATGTAAGTTTATGTAAGAATGGATTTATGAATGATTTAACACAAAATGTCCTCTGCTCGTGTTTTATGAATGAGGCCCATGCAGCACCATTCTCTCTGACTCCAGAAAGCAATTATGTTAATGTTCTTCAGTCTAACATCATTATTATTATCAGAAACAGTGATTTCAAAAATGTATTTTTAGATCGCTATTAACAAAGTTTGTTTTACCCAAACGTTTTTGCGTATTTGGATAAAGACTTTCACAGAATGAAACAAGAACTCTTTATCTCTCTCTCTGTTACACACCCTCACACAGATGATGAATATTAGGCATATTTGCGGCCAGACTTTATAGTTGGACCCAGGTTTTCCTGCCAAGTGGATTAGAGGTGTGGGGTTGATTTCAGATTATTCTCAAATGGCATGATTAATTAGGTGTCCTCTCAAGCTCCATCTGCCTCTCACCAGATGCGTTCAGGGACAGGGAGAGACCTCCTGAGACTACACAGAGCTCTTTGTGTCACGCCACCCTGAGCTCTACCAGAATCCCCCTCAGTTCAAAGAGAACAAAATGAAGCTTGGGCCAAGATTCTTCTTTTGTTTATCAATCTCTATATGAAACTTTGTTATTTCTCTGACTGAAAACAAATCGAGCGGCAACACATCGCTAATGACTAATGATGTACTTTTCTGAGCGCCTCCATTTTCTGCATATCTCTACGGCGGAGTCGTATCCAACGTCTCCGGCGGTTGGTGTGGTACATCTTCTCGGATGGAACCCAGGACTTTGGTCGGCGGTCTGGGGGGAGGGTTATTCCATATTCCCACCCTACAGGTAGAAGAAGATTTATTGTAAAGACATTGCTTTTGCAAATCTTCTCAATGTATGAAATAATGAAGAGCAGAAGTCAGTGGCGTATGTGTGCAGTAAAGACTTATCAAAGTTTCCATACCTTGATCATCCACTGCACGCTTCAGATCCTCGCTCCACTCAATATCCTCCCACACCCAGCCGGGGGGACACTCGATCTCATCTTTAGGCACGGCCTTTTCTCCATTCTGCCCCCCAGTGGACACATAAAGAACAAAAACATCAGTTCCTGCCAAATGATTTTAAAGGGGTCATATGATGCAATTTAAATTTTTCCTTTCTTTTTGGAGTGTTACAAGCTCTTGGTGCATAAAGAAGATCTGTAAAGTTGCAAAGACTAAAGTCTCAAATCCAAAGAGATATTCTTTATAAAAGTTAAGAGTCAACCACGCCTACCTAAATATAATGGGTTTTAATGTTTTTGTCTCGTCGCTCCGGCCGGGACAAGGCATCACAATATTGTATATATTGTGTAATATAATATATAATATGTACAGTATGTGGAAAATAATGTGGTTTTTTTTACTTTAAACCGCATAAACACATTTCATTACACCAAATACACAAAATAATGTTCTTTTTAGCAACATCATATGACCCCTTTAATGTAGAACATATTAGTCCACATTTTAAAGTATATTTTATATACCCTTTGACTAACTATTCCTCTGTGCCTCATGAATAAAACTAATAACTCTTACTTTACCTAAAAAGAGCTAAAGGTACAGTTTTGTTATGATACAACTACACACTAACCACATCTGTGTACCCTTCCGACATGCCAATCCACTGTCCTCCTGGCAAACGCATCTGATTTTCAAACACCTCTTCCAAAAAGCTTATATGACCTGCATCAGCGTCATACAGCAATCTGGGCATTGTGGGCATAAAGACAAATCCATGTAATGCCGTTTCAAAGGGTGTTTAATGATGTAGATATCACGGATAATGATAAGATGGTACTCACGTTTTTTCTGGGCTGACGTACCAGTCTCCTGCCCAGCTCCATCCTGGAGGGGGTTTGAAGCCCTCTTTTGGGTGTTTGATTCTGCCAGTCACGTCACTGAACTTGGGGTATGTCAAACCCGTCGTACCCCAGTTCCCCACCAGAGCCAATTTAGTCTGGTTTTCATACTGAATATGAAATATAAATAAATCACAAATAAATCACAGTTGATTTTTTAAAGAAGTTTCTTATGTTCACCAATGCCACAATTATTTAAAAATACAGTAAAAACAGTCATATTGAGAAATATTATTACAAAAAGTGCATTAAAATATTTCAATATTTATTATTGTGAAATTGATTTCTATATCAATAAGTAATATATACACTGTTGGACATTGCTAATAGACAAATTAGTAATTAGTGATTGTGTGAAATGTATTTTAAGAGACATTATTTACTAAAAGCCCACAGCAAAAGTGCCAATAGGTGAAGAAACAAAACTAATTATAATATTTGACGGTAGTGTTAAAGTTGCATTTGAGGTAGCTGCAAACTCACCGTTTCTGCAAACACAGAGAGTTTGCCCTCGGCAAACTGGTTAAAGGATTTGACATCAGCAGTCAGTCCGAGCCACACCTTGACCCTGAGCTGAGCTGGGATCTTACTATATCCCCCGTCTTCCTGTGGATTCTGAGCACAACATTACACACAGAGATAGAGTGATTTATCAATGCCCCTGCGGTTCCATTCATCATTTGTACTGTAGCTTTGCCTCCAAATAGTGTGTTTACCTTCATGAAAACCGTCTGAAGTTGGCCACAATGCTTTCCGCAATAACCATGGGAAAAGAGAACTTGATGGGCAGGGATTCTGTGGTAGGCCACTCGTCTGTCTCCCTGAAGCATCCAGATTATTATATCTGGCAGACTGTTCTGGGGCTGAAAGAAAGAAAGATTTTAATTTTTTTTATTTATGGAGTCACTATTTGAACCAGGTGTAAGTAGCACAAAAATTAATAATAATGTAAGTAATTTAGGCCCTGTTTACAACTGGTGTAAAGATACATTTTCGCTGAAACAATCACAAGTGGACAACACTAAATACGAATGGGGTCTAAAAGGTTTTGAGCTTGTCCATTATTGACCACTTCCAGAAGCAGTCAAAAACGCAACTGGCAGCATTGTTTTCATAGTGTAGATGCGACTAATGCACAAAAGACCCCTGCCTACTAACCTAACAATAACCAAACAGTTGATGGTAGCCAGTGACTTCCATACTATGGAAAGAAAAAATACTATGGAAGTCAAAGGTTACCATAAACTCTTTGTTTACATTCTTCAAAATATCTTCTTTTGTGTTCAACAGTAGAAAGAAATTCATACAGGTTTGGAACAACTTGAAGGTGAGCAAATGATGACAGAATTAAAATTTTTGGGTGAACTATCCTTTTAAGACCAGGTGTAAATGAGTCTCAGCTGACCACTTGTGATTGAATCACTGAACATGCATCTTAATACCAGGTGGAAGCAGGGCTTTAGACATTAAGGCCACATCTCTTTCACCTCCTCAGAAAGGTGGCGAAGTCTCTGGGTCCAGTCCTCCGCCTGCTCCAGCACTGCACTCAGCTCGGTCTCTGGTCCATGTTTGAGCGCCAGTGCCGCCTGCACTATCTGCTGCATGTTAATCTTGCGCAGATTCCTCAGAGCTTTATCCAGCGCAGTCACACAGGGCCATTTATTCAACTGAGGAAGTTCCTCACTACAGTACATACACACAAAAAGGTGCTTTAGTTTGTCATAGCGAAAGCGATACAGCTTTACAAAACACTAGAGCACATCTGAACCTGCAGTCGGCTATGACATCATCAAGCAGCTGGACAACCTTCTGCTCCACTTCCTGTTCATCACTACTTACTTTGAGTGTCAGCTGTACCTGCTCAAGGTTTGACTCCTATTATAACAGTAAAAAGGATATTAGGAAATACAGTTATAACTGATTGTGCTTTGATATATTTAGAGGTGTTGATTGGAGCCATATGTTAAATGTTCCTCACCAATCGGTTGCCTATGCTGAGCAGCATGTTTAGGGCCTCTATGCGAAGACTGATATCCTCCCACTCTGAAGACAAGACCACCACAGGTTTCACATTTCCCCATGGCAGGTAGTAGTAATGACAGCCTAAATAACCATGTACAACAGTGGAAGTCATGTTGGATACTTGAGTATCACTCATTGGCTTATACGTTGGTGTTGAGATCCAAATAACAATTTAAAATGAAACATTATTATGCATTTGATGTAATACAAAGCATCAATCTTACTATTTTGTTTTTTAAAATTAGTAGGCTGCAGATATTTGATCAAAAATACAATAAAAAAAGTAAAAATATAATTACAATTTAAATTTACTGTTTTCTATATTAATATATGTAATATATGACCCTGGACCACAAAACCAGTCTTAAGTCGCTGGGGTATATTTGTAGCAATAGCCAAAAATACATTTTATGGGTCAAAATTATAGATTTTTCTTTTATGCCAAAAATCATTAGGATATTAAGTAAAGATCATGTTCCATGATTTTTTTTTTGCACCCTCAGATTCCAGATTTTCAAATAGTTGTATCTCGGCCAAATATTGTCCTATCCTAACAAACCATACATCAATGGAAATCTTATTTATTCAGCTTTCAGGTTATGTATAAATTGACAAATTGACACTTAAGACTGGTTTTGTGGTCCAGGGTCACATACGTATATTATAATGTCATTTTTTTCCTATGGTGGTAAGACTGAATTTCAAGCAACCATTAGTCCAGTGTTCAGTGTCACGTGATCCTTCAGAATCATTCAAATCATTCTAATATGCCAATTTAGTGCTCAAGAAAAATTTCTTATTATTATCAGTGTTGTAAACAGTTGTGCTGCTTAATATTTTTGTGGAAACAGTGATACATTTTTCAGGATTCATGATTCTTTGATGAATAGAAAGTTTAAAAGAACAGCATTTATTTGAAATATACATTATTTTGTAACATAAAAGTTTTGAAATGTATAAAACTTTACGTTCTTGCTGAATAAGTTAAAAAAAAACATGCTGACCCTACATTTTTAAAAGTTAATATATTACCCATTAAAAGTACCAGGTTAATAACATATTAATATTTAAGGATTCGAATTACTCCAGAGGATATTTAGTAAAACAATAGGAGGAATATAACACATTTTTACTGACAATCAGTTATGTATATCCACCTCTTATTTATAAAATTACATAGAAAAAAAAGTTCAGGTGTTTCTGTTAAAAGAACAACAAATGCCACAAGAATCCACTACTTAATCCACTACTACCACCATATATATATACAGTGGGTACGGAAAGTATTCAGACCCCCTTAAATTTTTCACTCTTTGTTATATTGCAGCCATTTGCTAAAATCATTTAAGTTAATTTTTTTTCCTCATTAATGTACACACAGCACCCCATATTGACAGAAAAACACAGAATTGTTGACATCTTTGCAGATTTATTAAAAAAGAAAAACTGAAAAATGCTCAGTATTTAGTAGAAGCACCCCTTTGATCTAATACAGCCATGAGTCTTTTTGATGCAACAAGTTTTTCACACCTGGAATTGGGGATCCTCTGCTTAAGGGGGTCTGAATACTTTCCGTACCCACTGTATATATATATATATATATATATGTATATACTGTATATATATATTACGTGTGGCATTACAAAATGTATGTAAAATGTTTAGCCAAAATCTGAACATTTTCAGGTGTAAATCTCTGGTGGTTTCTCACCATCAAACACAGCCCTGCTGAACTGAGTGGTGGAGGCCAAAGGCAGACAGGTGTTGTCAAACTTGTTGCCATAGTTGCCAATACTGACTTCAAACTGAACAGCATCATCTACATCCTGAAGATGAGTGGCTGAGTAGAATGCAGCAAACAGGGAGAACTTCCTCTTCCGCATGAATTTCTGTATGACACAATACAACAGAGGTTCTTCACTTCTATTAAATGATCCATCCTGTGTCACATGATCCCGTGTCTGGTGCCAAACCCAGTCAGAATAGCTGTGATCTCACCTCTACCACCAGCAGGTCATCAGGGTGTAAGTCTTCAACCTTTTGTTCCACCTGATGAGACAGCTTTGTGATGACCTCCAACAGCACACGACCACGATAGGCCACACCCTCTCCCTGTGTCAAAACACACACACACACAGCAACTTCATTCCTAAAATAGTTCAAATACTAAGTCAATAATCAAAAATAATTGACTAAGATTTTGTAGTCAGCTATCAGTACAGACAAATATCATATAGGGGACCCTGGGGTATGCTATGCCACTTTCCAAGTTATTCCAAGTTAGATTTGAGGAATATGTAAAAAAGATTTCAAATTAAATATGAATATTTGTTTATACAAAAAAGAAAACTGTAATTCAGTGAAACCATTATGATGTTTAAAAGCATAAAAATATAAAAAAGTTGATTATGCAAAAAAAATCAAGATTTATAATAAAAAGGTTTAACATTTAAGATATGTATTTAAGATAAGTTTTATCATTACAGCATTTTAGAATTTAGACGTTACAGCAGCATAAAACAGAACAAAAAGAAACAAAGTAGAATTAAGATAAAAATAAATAAAAATAAGAAAAAAAACTTAAGCATACTAAAATAAGTTTAAAAAAAATACGTAAAAGAAAACGTCTCAGGTTACTTATGTAACCATGGTTCCCTGAGTAGGGAACGAGACACTGCGTCCTCTAGGTTTCTTGCCATGCTGCGGACGCAAGCTTCAGATGAAGAAGTGAATGATGTGTGCTCCCGGCGCCTATTTATACTATAGTCGCACCGGTAGTGACGTCATGGCTGTCGCCGGCCAACGAGTTGGTGTTTTTTCAATGTATGCTTCAGACACGGGTCACGACGAGGCGTTCCCCATAGCGACCCCTAGAGGACGCAGTTCGAAGTTCCCATGAAAGGGAACATCTCAGGTTACTTATGTAACCATGGTTCCCTGAGTAGGGAACGAGACACTGCGTCCTCTAGGTTTCTTGCCATGCTGCGGACGCAAGCTTCAGATGAAGAAGTGAATGATGTGTGCTCCCGGCGCCTATTTATACTATAGTCGCACCGGTAGTGACGTCATGGCTGTCGCCGGCCAACGAGTTGGTGTTTTTTCAATGTATGCTTCAGACACGGGTCACGACGAGGCGTTCCCCATAGCGACCCCTAGAGGACGCAGTTCGAAGTTCCCATGAAAGGGAACATCTCAGGTTACTTATGTAACCATGGTTCCCTGAGTAGGGAACGAGACACTGCGTCCTCTAGGTTTCTTGCCATGCTGCGGACGCAAGCTTCAGATGAAGAAGTGAATGATGTGTGCTCCCGGCGCCTATTTATACTATAGTCGCACCGGTAGTGACGTCATGGCTGTCGCCGGCCAACGAGTTGGTGTTTTTTCAATGTATGCTTCAGACACGGGTCACGACGAGGCGTTCCCCATAGCGACCCCTAGAGGACGCAGTTCGAAGTTCCCATGAAAGGGAACATCTCAGGTTACTTATGTAACCATGGTTCCCTGAGTAGGGAACGAGACACTGCGTCCTCTAGGTTTCTTGCCATGCTGCGGACGCAAGCTTCAGATGAAGAAGTGAATGATGTGTGCTCCCGGCGCCTATTTATACTATAGTCGCACCGGTAGTGACGTCATGGCTGTCGCCGGCCAACGAGTTGGTGTTTTTTCAATGTATGCTTCAGACACGGGTCACGACGAGGCGTTCCCCATAGCGACCCCTAGAGGACGCAGTTCGAAGTTCCCATGAAAGGGAACATCTCAGGTTACTTATGTAACCATGGTTCCCTGAGTAGGGAACGAGACACTGCGTCCTCTAGGTTTCTTGCCATGCTGCGGACGCAAGCTTCAGATGAAGAAGTGAATGATGTGTGCTCCCGGCGCCTATTTATACTATAGTCGCACCGGTAGTGACGTCATGGCTGTCGCCGGCCAACGAGTTGGTGTTTTTTCAATGTATGCTTCAGACACGGGTCACGACGAGGCGTTCCCCATAGCGACCCCTAGAGGACGCAGTTCGAAGTTCCCATGAAAGGGAACATCTCAGGTTACTTATGTAACCATGGTTCCCTGAGTAGGGAACGAGACACTGCGTCCTCTAGGTTTCTTGCCATGCTGCGGACGCAAGCTTCAGATGAAGAAGTGAATGATGTGTGCTCCCGGCGCCTATTTATACTATAGTCGCACCGGTAGTGACGTCATGGCTGTCGCCGGCCAACGAGTTGGTGTTTTTTCAATGTATGCTTCAGACACGGGTCACGACGAGGCGTTCCCCATAGCGACCCCTAGAGGACGCAGTTCGAAGTTCCCATGAAAGGGAACATCTCAGGTTACTTATGTAACCATGGTTCCCTGAGTAGGGAACGAGACACTGCGTCCTCTAGGTTTCTTGCCATGCTGCGGACGCAAGCTTCAGATGAAGAAGTGAATGATGTGTGCTCCCGGCGCCTATTTATACTATAGTCGCACCGGTAGTGACGTCATGGCTGTCGCCGGCCAACGAGTTGGTGTTTTTTCAATGTATGCTTCAGACACGGGTCACGACGAGGCGTTCCCCATAGCGACCCCTAGAGGACGCAGTTCGAAGTTCCCATGAAAGGGAACATCTCAGGTTACTTATGTAACCATGGTTCCCTGAGTAGGGAACGAGACACTGCGTCCTCTAGGTTTCTTGCCATGCTGCGGACGCAAGCTTCAGATGAAGAAGTGAATGATGTGTGCTCCCGGCGCCTATTTATACTATAGTCGCACCGGTAGTGACGTCATGGCTGTCGCCGGCCAACGAGTTGGTGTTTTTTCAATGTATGCTTCAGACACGGGTCACGACGAGGCGTTCCCCATAGCGACCCCTAGAGGACGCAGTTCGAAGTTCCCATGAAAGGGAACATCTCAGGTTACTTATGTAACCATGGTTCCCTGAGTAGGGAACGAGACACTGCGTCCTCTAGGTTTCTTGCCATGCTGCGGACGCAAGCTTCAGATGAAGAAGTGAATGATGTGTGCTCCCGGCGCCTATTTATACTATAGTCGCACCGGTAGTGACGTCATGGCTGTCGCCGGCCAACGAGTTGGTGTTTTTTCAATGTATGCTTCAGACACGGGTCACGACGAGGCGTTCCCCATAGCGACCCCTAGAGGACGCAGTTCGAAGTTCCCATGAAAGGGAACATCTCAGGTTACTTATGTAACCATGGTTCCCTGAGTAGGGAACGAGACACTGCGTCCTCTAGGTTTCTTGCCATGCTGCGGACGCAAGCTTCAGATGAAGAAGTGAATGATGTGTGCTCCCGGCGCCTATTTATACTATAGTCGCACCGGTAGTGACGTCATGGCTGTCGCCGGCCAACGAGTTGGTGTTTTTTCAATGTATGCTTCAGACACGGGTCACGACGAGGCGTTCCCCATAGCGACCCCTAGAGGACGCAGTTCGAAGTTCCCATGAAAGGGAACATCTCAGGTTACTTATGTAACCATGGTTCCCTGAGTAGGGAACGAGACACTGCGTCCTCTAGGTTTCTTGCCATGCTGCGGACGCAAGCTTCAGATGAAGAAGTGAATGATGTGTGCTCCCGGCGCCTATTTATACTATAGTCGCACCGGTAGTGACGTCATGGCTGTCGCCGGCCAACGAGTTGGTGTTTTTTCAATGTATGCTTCAGACACGGGTCACGACGAGGCGTTCCCCATAGCGACCCCTAGAGGACGCAGTTCGAAGTTCCCATGAAAGGGAACATCTCAGGTTACTTATGTAACCATGGTTCCCTGAGTAGGGAACGAGACACTGCGTCCTCTAGGTTTCTTGCCATGCTGCGGACGCAAGCTTCAGATGAAGAAGTGAATGATGTGTGCTCCCGGCGCCTATTTATACTATAGTCGCACCGGTAGTGACGTCATGGCTGTCGCCGGCCAACGAGTTGGTGTTTTTTCAATGTATGCTTCAGACACGGGTCACGACGAGGCGTTCCCCATAGCGACCCCTAGAGGACGCAGTTCGAAGTTCCCATGAAAGGGAACATCTCAGGTTACTTATGTAACCATGGTTCCCTGAGTAGGGAACGAGACACTGCGTCCTCTAGGTTTCTTGCCATGCTGCGGACGCAAGCTTCAGATGAAGAAGTGAATGATGTGTGCTCCCGGCGCCTATTTATACTATAGTCGCACCGGTAGTGACGTCATGGCTGTCGCCGGCCAACGAGTTGGTGTTTTTTCAATGTATGCTTCAGACACGGGTCACGACGAGGCGTTCCCCATAGCGACCCCTAGAGGACGCAGTTCGAAGTTCCCATGAAAGGGAACATCTCAGGTTACTTATGTAACCATGGTTCCCTGAGTAGGGAACGAGACACTGCGTCCTCTAGGTTTCTTGCCATGCTGCGGACGCAAGCTTCAGATGAAGAAGTGAATGATGTGTGCTCCCGGCGCCTATTTATACTATAGTCGCACCGGTAGTGACGTCATGGCTGTCGCCGGCCAACGAGTTGGTGTTTTTTCAATGTATGCTTCAGACACGGGTCACGACGAGGCGTTCCCCATAGCGACCCCTAGAGGACGCAGTTCGAAGTTCCCATGAAAGGGAACATCTCAGGTTACTTATGTAACCATGGTTCCCTGAGTAGGGAACGAGACACTGCGTCCTCTAGGTTTCTTGCCATGCTGCGGACGCAAGCTTCAGATGAAGAAGTGAATGATGTGTGCTCCCGGCGCCTATTTATACTATAGTCGCACCGGTAGTGACGTCATGGCTGTCGCCGGCCAACGAGTTGGTGTTTTTTCAATGTATGCTTCAGACACGGGTCACGACGAGGCGTTCCCCATAGCGACCCCTAGAGGACGCAGTTCGAAGTTCCCATGAAAGGGAACATCTCAGGTTACTTATGTAACCATGGTTCCCTGAGTAGGGAACGAGACACTGCGTCCTCTAGGTTTCTTGCCATGCTGCGGACGCAAGCTTCAGATGAAGAAGTGAATGATGTGTGCTCCCGGCGCCTATTTATACTATAGTCGCACCGGTAGTGACGTCATGGCTGTCGCCGGCCAACGAGTTGGTGTTTTTTCAATGTATGCTTCAGACACGGGTCACGACGAGGCGTTCCCCATAGCGACCCCTAGAGGACGCAGTTCGAAGTTCCCATGAAAGGGAACTAGAATACGGTGAAACAATTTTGGTGCTTAGAAAGATTAAAAATATTATTATAAATAAGATGTTTACACAAAAAAAAATTTTTTTTAAACTAATACAGTGAAACACTTTAGAAACATTAAAAAATGTTCATATAAAAAGGTGTTAACAAACAAGCTGTAAGAAACTCTGTATCAATTGTTTATGCACACACACACACACACACACACACACATATATATATATATATATATAGTAAATATAGTAAAATAATAGTAAATCTCACCTTTCCAAAGTTTAGTGCCTCATGTGGGTCTGAGAAGGCTGTGAACTCTCGGGGGCTCCCATACATGTTGACGTAGCAGGGGCCAAAGGTCGGAAGAAAGCCTATATTGTCATCCACTTATTGACATAAAATGGAGAAGAGCAAGAATTAGACAGATAGCGGTCACCTTTAGCTTTGAGCAGTAAAAATACATAGCAAATTGTACATGTAAATGAGTGACCATATTGACATATTGCTTCTTGACATAGATTCAGTGGCAAATACATTTCCATTTAGTCATAGAAAACAACTTCTCTAAGGGCCAGCAGAATAAAGCTATAGGCAACAAAAGTACTACAGCCCAATATAAGTCTAAACCTGACATAGGTGTGATCTACAGGAAGGGTAGCACACATACTGAGAGAGACACACATACTGGTGCCGTGGAAGGTCCTGGGAGGAAACTCATCTGAGTGCATAGAGAAATAAAAATTTTGAGACACAATAAGGATAGCAGAAGTGAAAAATAGCTGATGCTCATGCACAGGTCTCTATTAATCACGTCTGCACCAAGTGTAGAGTTAGATTTGCACACCAAACTCACTCTATGCAGCTCACAAAAGATGGTGAAACCAACAACCAACTGCTACTGAAACCAATGCATTGCAACAATACTACAATACTACAATTTTGTCAACCAAGCCACATAATTATCTTGATTTGTCATGCCTCCTTGACAAAAGAATAAATCTTTTAAAAAAAACGTAGTAGTAAAAAAAGTAGTTTGTGTCATCCTTGCCTCTAATTCAGATTAAAACACACGAGCCAATTTCTCACTAAATTCCCCCAAAAGCAGTGTTAATTTCTTTTTCTAGGTTCAATCCCCAGCCAGTTCATTACCAATATGCAAAATCAAGACATCAAATCAGCAAGCAAACAAGAATTAGTGTTACACTGCAACCAGCACAATATTGAACCAATGTGATCGTTTAACAATGTAAATTGTTAAAAAAAAAAAAAAACAATGAAGAATATTTTTTGTATCCCAAGTTACTTTCACCTGTACTAGCTAAATAAATACAGACTACAAATGAATTACTAAAAGTGGTTTAACTGCCCAAAGAGTGTAGCAATCTTTGTGGAACAAACACTGCTGTTTGCTTGAGAGAATCGACATCTAAAGTTCTGGCACAACCAATGATGCAAGTTTTGGGAAGGACTGACTGTAATAAGCTTTTGCTCCGGGAACTGACAATCTACCATTGTTCAGCAGTTATGTTTAGGCAGTCGTGGCTTAATGGTTAGAAAGTCAGTAACCCAAAGGTCACGGGATTGAGTTTCGGGACCATCAGGGATTGTAGATGGTGGGGGAGTGAATGACCAGCGCTCTCTTCCACGCTCAATACCACGACTGAGGTGCCCTTGGGCAAGGTACCGAACCCCCAACTGCTCCCCGGGTGCCGCAGCAAAAATAGCTGCCCACTGCTCCGGGTGTGTGTTCACGGTGTGTGTTTGTTCACTACTCACTGCTGTGTGTGTGCACTTGGACGGGATAAATGCAGAGCACAAATTCCGAGTATGGGATACCATGTCACTTCACTTTCAATTAATGTTTTTAGTTGTGCAGAAATAATGCACTTCATCATAAATTCTTTAAATGGTCAAGCAGTGGTTCTCAACCAGGAGGCTGAGGCCCACTAGGGGGGCCTCAACAAACTTCCAAAGGGATGCCAAGATGACTTAAAATTATTTAAAATAAGCATGAAAATAAAACTACTAAAAATGTACCCCCTCAACAGCTGTTCCCACTTTCTTTCATCTTTCAAGAGCCGGGGTTCACACGGTAATGAAAAACCTGGATGAGGTAGCCTAACGCTAAAAATGTGATTTCAAAAAATCATGAAAATTAATGAAATCTGTAAGCTCTATGGACATTTTTATAATGAATATACATTGTTCTAATTATGCCGTGCTCTAAAATATTTTATCAGGTAGAAATTGTGCGTAAAAACTATTTTTAAAAAATCCTTATTTAGAAAACTGACTGGAAAAGTCATTTCAAAAGTATTGGTAAAAAAAGACTGGGAACCCCAAAGGACATTTGGCTCAAGACTTGGTTGACTGGTTTTTTTCTAGGCTTGACTGTGTTTATGGGGTGCAGTCTAACATGTGTTAATGCTTCGTTTAAAAAAAAAAACGCATTATTTTTCACATAATTTACTTTTATTCCACACCGCTCTGTCCCTTCTCCTATAAATGTGCTGATCATTTCCTGCTTTTATGAAGCCCCTCCCTCAGAAATACGCGATGGGCTCTGATTGGTTAGCTATTCAAGTGTGTTGTGATTGGCTAAACCACCTCTAGTGCGCATCTAAACATCCAGCCCCTCAGCTCAGCGGCATGTGCTCCGGTGTTGTATTGTAAACAATGGCGTTGTCTATATTGCTTATAAGTTTGAGTCCGATTGAGACGCAGAGGATATTAGTGAAGAGGATCGCGCAGAACCTGTGCAAGCACGGCTCTGAATGGAATGTTTTTTGTTTGTTGTTGTCTCATACTTTTAGATAAGCTGTTATTTGTAAATGTTACTGCTTCTGTTAGCTTTTATTTACTGTTTTATCCTGATTAAAGCTTTAATACAGTATGGCAACCGCACGCGCGTCCATGTTTAAGCTTCTCATAGCTATGTGAAAATAAGTGTATAAATGGAACAGTTCATTGTTTGAGCTGAGCTGGTGATCTGAATGGGAGATAAGAGAGAGAGAAAGAAATGCAGAGCAGAGCAGGGCGACGTGAGGAACAGGATTGAGAACCACTGCTTTAGAACATTGATTTTGAAACTTGTGAATCCATTAGAATCGTTAGAAGACCGAATCGCCATTCGTATATGAATAGATTTTTACATGCACCCCTAGTTCCCTTTCAGTCGGTCACGTTCGACGTACGTCGGAACTGACCGACGAATTGGGGATTGCTTTGGGAGACCAATCTACTACAAAAACGAGCCAGTGCACATTGGCATGCGATAATTGCCACAGCTGCTCTGCGCTGCAGCGCGAGTATTTAATGAGCAGCCGGTGCGTCGCATATTTGCTTTTCGCTTCGGAGCCGAACACATGTGCTGTTCCTGCGCGTGAGTTTTCTTTAAAAAGTGGTGGAAGATGAGCTGCTCGTTGGGAAGGAGCCTCTGCGTGTCTGGTGCGGGTGTGACGGCGCTGACAGTGTTGGTCGCGATCTCACGAGAGACGCTGAGGGGGCACTCATGGATGGTACATGTTCTCACTGCGGGAACATGACCATCTCGGTGTTAAGGTCGAGACTCCAGTATCTTGAAAGGACTGGAGCCCCTTCGTATATTCCCCGATCTAGTTCTTCTTCTGGGCCAGCTCAGAAGAAGCCTACTTCGGTTAATAACCTAGGTGACGCCGAGTCAAACTCCTCGGGATCCTCACTCCTCCATGACACTGCAACCAGTGGAGTCTCCAAGAGGGCATGCTGGTCCGCCTCGTGCGGCACCAGTCGTTACTTTTGGGGATACCCCGGAGGACCAGATGTTGGTTGCTGCATCGGAGGGTGAGTGTATGTCCTCCTGGGTTGAAGATTCGGCTGTGCTGCCCCCTTCGGGTGTGGCAGCGTTGCCCGAGTCAGACCCAGAGATGGCTACTGTGCTTTCCCGGGCCGCCGCGAGTGTCGGGCTCGAGTGGAACCCTCCACCGTGTCCCAAACCCTCGCGGCTGGACGATTGGTTTCTTGGAGCGGCCCGTGCTGGTTCTCAGCGCTCCGCCCCAGTACCTTTCTTTCCGGAGGTGCATAAAGAGGTGACTAAATCGTGGACGAAGCCGGTCTGGTCCTTCTTCCTCCCTCACTACCCTCGATGGCGGTGCGGCTAAGGGGTACGTGGAGCTCCCCCCAGTGGAGCGGTCTGTGGCGATGCAACTGTGTCCCAAGACTGCTACCTCTTGGCGGGGTAATCCGCGTCTCCCCTCCCGAGCATGTAAGTTCTCGTCCACTCTGGCGGGCAAGGCTTACACAGCTTGTGGAGAAGCCGCTTCCGCCCTGCATGCCATGGCGCTCCTGCAGGTCTACCAGGCCAAAGCGCTCAAGGAACTGCACGAGGGTAGTTCTGACCCAGGGGTTATGCAGGAACTGCGTGCAGCAACGGACCTTGCCCTACGGGCGACGAAAGTCACTACACACTCCCTGGGTCGGGCAATATCCATCTTAGTAGTCCAGGAGTGCCACCTGTCTTTACGAAGGTCGCGGAGGCAGCCATTGTTCCACTCAGAGAACGTGGCGTTTGCATTCTCAACTATCTCGACGACTGGCTGATACTGGCACAGTCTTGGGACCAGTTGCGAACACAGGGACATGGTGCTTCGTCACCTCAGCCTGTTGGGACTTCGGATCAACTGGGAAAAGAGCAACCTCTCCCCTGTGCAGAGGATCTCTTTTCTCGGTATGGAGTTGGACTCGGTCAACCAGACAGCGCGACTCACAGAGGAGCGCGTCCAGTGAGTGTTGAACTGCTTGAATTCATTCAGAGGCAGGACAGCGGCCCCACTAAAACTTTTACAGAGGCTCCTGGGGCATATGGCATCCGCGGCCGCAGTAACGCTGCTCGGGTTGCTTCATATGAGGCCACTTCAGCACTGGCTTCATAGCCGAGTCCCGAGATGGGCATGGCAGAGCGGCACGCACCAGGTGTCTATCACCCCGTACTGTCACCAAACCTTCAGCCCGTGGTCAGACCCTTCGTTTCTACGGGCGGGAGTCCCCCTAGAACAAGTGTCCAGGCATGCTTTGGTGTTCATGGATGCCTCGGCCACGGGCTGGGGGGCCACGTACAACGGGCATGCAGTGTCGGGTCTGTGGACGGGGCCTCAACTGCATTGGCACATCAACTGCCTCGAGTTGCTAGCAGTAAGTCTTGCACTCAAAGGGCTGCTACATGGCAAGCACGTGCTGGTCCATACGGACAATACTGTGACCTTTGCGTACATCAACCGCCAGGGTGGTCTACGCTCCCGCCGCATGTCGCAACTTGCCCGCCATCTCCTCCTCTGGAGTCAGAAGCATCTGAGGTCACTTCGGGCCATTCACATCCCTGGCGTGCTCAATCGTGCAGCCGAAGAGCTCTCACGACAGCCTGCGCTTCCGGGAGAGTGGTGGCTCCATCCCCAGGTGGTCCAGCTGATTTGGGACCTCTTTGGAGCCACACAGGTAGACCTGCTTGCCTCTCCGGACTCGACCCATTGCCAGCTGTTTTATTCCCTGACCGAGGGCACCCTTGGCACGGATGCGCTGGCCCACAGCTGGCCCCAGGGTCTTCGCAAATATGCGTTTCCCCCAGTGAGCCATCTCGCACAGACACTGTGCAAAGTCAGGGAGGACGAGGAGCAGGTCCTGGTAGTTGCGCTATACTGGCCCAACTGAACTTGGTTCTCGGAACTTATGCTCCTCGCGACAGCC